GACGTAATAATTTCGGGAGACAGTTAGCATCAGGAAAGGGCTTTATTATTTGGGGTGTCAGACTAGCAATGGGATTGTAAAAGTAATCAGCAATGCTATATACTTGCATTTTGCAGGCTGGTGTGTAAAAGGGCTTCACAAATGGGGCGTTAATTTGAGAATTCAGGTTGATGGAAAAAGTTGACGGAAAAAGTAATAAGAACTGAGCTGATACGGCACCTCGAAGAAAACAACTTGCTCAGTGTACATCAGCATGGAGTTCGTGGGGGTCGATCCTGTATCACTAATCTCCCAGTATCCATGGAGAGCTGGACGAAATCGATCGACATGGGCTTATCAGTCGACGCCGTGTACATTGAATTCAAAAAGGCTTTGGACATTGTTCCACACAGACGACTTATATTTAAACTACGTCAAGTGGGTATGAACGACAATCTTTTAAAATGGTTAGCCATATTTCTTACGGGCAGATCTCAGCGTGTATGTATTGGAAACGCTAAATCGGAATGGGCAACCGTGCACAGTGGCGTTCCGCAGGGAAGCGTTTTGGGTCCAATCCTGTTCTTAATATATGTGGACGACTGCCTGGACTGTCTAAACTGCGAGCGCGTAATGTTTGCCGACGATCTCAAAGTGTGGAAATTAATACAGAGGCCGGAAGACTCTGTACAGTTACAAGACAATTTGGATCGCTTGCAAAAATGGTGTGATGAGTGGTGTCTTAGCGTCAATCCTAACAAATGCCAAATTATTCGATTACGTTCGAGCAACAGGAGGCCGTCGGATTTCGAATATCAGTACTTTATAGTAGGTCACCAACTCGAATCAGTCGACGAGTTAAGAGACCTCGGAGTGTGGATGACGTCAACTCTCAAACCATCGTCTCACTGCGCCAGAGTATCAAAGATAGCTATGGGTATACTGGCCTCGATTAGAATATCCTTCCTCAATTTTGACAAAGAACTTTTCGGTCGAGTATTTGGAGCATACGGTTGACCAGTGCTGGAATATTGTGTCCACGCATGGTGTCCCTGGATGAAAAAAGATTACAGCCTGCTGGGGAACGTACAACGAACATCGACTAAACTATTCGGAGGATTAAGTAGTTTACCATATGAGAGACGGCTGGAGAAGCTAAAAAATATTTCCTCTCTCTTATAGACAATACAGAGGGGATATGATCGCGGCCTTCTAACTCGAACTGCGGGCCAAATTCTTCGCCCACCGGCTGGATGAGTGATGGAATAAATTGCCGAACTCCGTTGTCTTAGCGGAAACGTCGAGACCTTCAAAAGAAGACTAGATGAATTTATGCTTGACGGTCAAACATTTACATGATATCAATGACTGGCATAACTGCTATGTAAATATCTGCATGTTTTTTTCATGCGTCTATCTGTAAATAGGGCTTTCCAAGGTTCTGCCTCTATCCCTCATATGTACTGAATTTAATCTGAATTTAGGTGGTTAACCCTCCGGCTCAGAGATCGGGTCCTGCCGACCAGCAAAACATTGCACTTAGTGGCATTAAACGGCAAAAGCCCGTCCTGTGACTATTTCTCGAGTCGGGTCAGGTCTGCCTGCAAGCGTTCTTCGTCAAATTCAGTTCGGATGACGCTCCAAAGTTTAACATCATCAGCGAACATGGCGACATCACTGACGCAGTCGTTGACGTATATAATGAATAGGGTAGGGCCAAGAACGGATCCTTGTGGAACACCGCTTTCAACCGCTACCTCCGCGGACTGCCGGTCACCGACGTGGACGATTTGAGAGAGACCGATCAAGAAGCTTTGGATCCACTTCAGGAGATTACCCCTAATGTCTGTTCGGATTAATTTGTGCCGGAGACGCTGATGTGGCCCACTGTCGAATGCTTTCTTAAAGTCGGCGTTGACTGCGTGCACTTCATTGCCGCCATCGAATGCCCAGGACCAGTGATCTAAACAGTAAAGTAGGCTTGTCGCGCATGATCTGCCTCTACGAAATCCGTGCTGGGCATCGCATAGCAGATTGTGCTCTTCTAGGATATGCGTTATTTCTCGTTTAATTATTCTTTCCATAAAGAGAATAGCCTGCGCACGGCAAACGCCCAAGTGGGTAAGTTGTGCAGGTCTTTCTGCATTTTAATCTTTTGTCTTTGCTCTTCTTTGTTCAGCTGAACTCCATCACATGGTTGCTTGAATGCACTAGAACCCCCGCGACTAACAGCTTAATCTTGCGCTGCCGCGTGTTGTGGTTTGTTTGATGTTGGGAGTTGGTGACTCGATCGTGAATCGCCCTTCCGCGACTGAGTCTTTTTTAGCTGAGCAAAAAAAGTCAATTATAATAAACTTCTCGAACGTAGGTAGCAAGATGTTGATATATCAAATTAACAAACACTAAGAGGTAAGTGTGTCTTTACAAATTTGTAAAGTCGCTAACTATAGTCGCTAACTATAGTTAGCGACTTTTGAATTCTTCTTTATAATTATAAACAGGAATAATGTATCATTCAACATAGGTTTATACCCCCGACCTAACTTAGAGCTGTCGATAATATTCATGTGCGAAGGAAAAGTTCGTTTCCAGACATAAGTTCAAGAGTTCAAACAAATCAGATGCAGGTCGTAGGATTGTAAGAGTGTTTCTCTGCACTGCCTTGCTAAATCAAGTGGTATGGGCGTGAATAGAGAGACAACATCGAACGGCACCACTATCTCATCCGTACCAATAGTGAGTCCTCTTTTTTTAGTTTAGAAATTTAATAGAATTCTTGACTGAAATCGAACAATGCTTTGTTAATGGAAGGAGTTTACGAATAGCCATTTAGAAATCTTACAATTCGGTGCACTGAGTTATGACACTATTAGTCGCAATAATATGTCAGGTTCGTGAACTTTCGGTAGTCCATAGATTTAAGCGATTTTTGGTTCAGTTTATTTTAGGGATTTCGCAATTTCTCCTGGTAGTTGTTTCTTTCCTGCAAGACGTTTCAGCACTTTATCGATGGGTGAAATCTGCTCTTTAATGGGGTCAACGGTGAGAGGCATATAAGTTGACCTATCTCCTAACAATGATAGCATCTTGTTATTGTATTCGGGTTTGTTTAAAATTGCAGTTGAGCCTCCGTTGTCTGCGGGTATTGATGCCATTAAGCCGGCACTCTTACTCTCCTGCCCATAGAAGTGACTTTCAATGCATCGAAAACCCAGAGGACTCGCTCTCATCTCCTAAAATGACCAAACACACCTCTTTATAGATGTACCTGTTGCTTCGATGATATGTTTGTCGTCGTTTTTCGATAATCTGTCCGGTGTTACTATAAGTGGGAGAAACCGTAGACATTGCGGTGTTTCTCGGGGAACCCGCACATGACGGAACATCGGTTAAATAGCAGTCATAATGTCAATTTTCCACTATCTGAATCACATATGTACCCAACTAGTAAATAGATGAAATCAGGTCCCGAGTGTAGTTAATCGTTTAGGGACTTTGAGGCTCATGATGGGGAGGATAAAAAGAGTAGTCTGCATCGTCGATATGGGTCTTCTGAGACTATTCAGGATGGAAGTAGTCCCCCATAGTTCGCATATAATTTTGCAATGAGTCCTCAGATCTCAGAATGCGTTTACTGCGTTGGTGACAACGATGTAGGGCAAATGATATATTGCTTGGTAAGATGGACGAAGGAGCTTTCTAAGACAAGGCTTGCATATGGTAGCCATTCCGAAGACGAAAGTTTTAGCCCATAGTCTACAATACAGCACGAGTGTTTGCAAGTGTAACTTTATGTTCGGCTATTCGGTCGCCGGTGGACAATTTTTTACTTTTCGAATCGTGGGTAGGACTGACTTTTTGGCAAAAGTTGTCCATAGACGCACATTTGGTTTGCGGATCTTTATCCGAATGTAAAATCAGCCCGAGTATTGTCCGTTGGTTTTATTTGGTACCAGCAAGACGACGAAGATGGCAGGGCAGACATGCTAACGACCTGTATACCGAACAGGAGCACAAGCACATCTACCAGCAGGAAACCAGTTGTCAGAGAACTGCCAACGCACACAAGGTTGCGAGAGCCATGGTTTGCTGATGACGGCACAGCAGATGCTTACATACGTTGAGACTTACAAGAGTGACACACAGCCTTGCATTTAGCCTAGACCATTACGCTTCAAAAAATGAGTATCCAGTAAATGGTCCACTGATAGGCATTACCTATAGCGCACATACACACTTCTCACATTTGAAAGTGTCGTCTATCACTTAAAATTGAGCCGTGACGGCCTGACTCTCAGCCCGCCATTCAGCCACTACGGACAAAGACACACAATTGGGTAGACTGCGTAGATTGACTTGGGACGTCAGTAGACAGCCGTTTAAGCCACACCGTTCGACGCATCGAAATAGTATCGGACTCTAATCACACCTGCAGCAAAGGAGCAGCATGTAGAGGGGGCCGAGAAGCACACTTCCTACCTCGTGGGAAGTGGCAATTGGCCTCTTGCGGTAGATGTTGTTGTCTGCTGCGGGTTTGGTGGGAGATGTGATAGTTTGGTATAATTGGCGATTGTCTATCGGCTTTCGGGAATGCGTATGTGACCTAGTAGGCACATGCGGTATGTGAATGTGCAAGGGCCTTTGAAGTGAGTCCGCCTGGTGAATTTTAATGCTCTAGGCAAGGGTTCACTGGTGTCTGCGTGGTGGATTCGCAAGCGACTGATTGGGACAATGTGTGAGGTGAGGGTGCGTTCTCAATGAGGACAGTTGTGGACTGAGTCTACATAGCAGGTGTTGACGGTGGTGAGGCTGATGTTTGTCCGTGTTTCAGGATTGTTTGCAGCGTTGGTAGTGTCATGAGCCGCCACAACGGATATTTAGGGGGTGGAGGATGGCCATGAAAGATCTGGAGCGCGGTTCGTGTCTTAGGTCCCCTTCTTTCACCTCAGCTTTAGTATCCATTGCGGTGGAAGTGGTTGAGCCTTCGCGCCAGCTATTTGTGCACCGTCCGTGTCTTTGATTTATTCGACTGTTTTGGCAGGATGACTGGTTTGTACGCCTTTGGTTTCGTGCCAAGGTGAAGATCTTGACGATTCGAGACTGTTTTGAAGACAGCCGAATTCTTGACTGGCCTTGGAAATCCGGCAAGCAATTTCATTCTCGATTTTGGTGTTGCGAGAAGGGGTGCTGCCCAGATAAGTGAGGTTGTCCACGGCTTGCGGATGGGCGTCCTTCAGGTTGACTGTGGGTGCATTGTAGTCTACGATGGGTGAGTTTGTGTGTTTAAACACCATTTTCTCCGTGTTGATAACCAGGCCGAAATTGTCGCAGGGGCGACGAACAGGTTCATGCTCCTTCCATGTCCTCCGCTGAAGTGGCGTGAGCGCGCAGTCGTCGACGAAAATAGTGGATGCATGCGACTGAAAATGCATTGGCAGCTGATTGAGGAGTTTGTGATCCGTCCTGTAGACGACGCGGATTCCCCGACGTCCATTATCATGGTAGAAAGACTAGGCGCGGGGATGCGACCCTGCTTCACTCCATTGGTCACTGCGAATGCCTCCGGGACGGCTCTATTGTCTGTGACACGCGTCGTCATGCGATCATGGTACTGACGCAATGTCGAATTAAATCGCTCTGGACAGCCGAATCTCCGCATGCTTTTCGAAAGTCCTTCGCGATTCACCGTTTCAAAGACCTCCGTCCGATACATGAAGGTAGAGTAGAGGTGAATCCGCATCTCCGGACACTTCTTCTGTAGCTGACGAGCGGCGAAGATGATATCGGTGGTGCTGCGATGACGGCGGTACGATCGCTTCTTAACGGAGGCGTTCTCGTTGTCGGTGGCGGCGGCGGCGGCGGTAGGGACTGGAAAGTTGGTTGGCCTTTGAGCTAGTTCATTAATGAAATGGAGATGGCGAGCAGGCAAAGACAACAAAGCAATATTCAACTTACCTGGGAGTCGTTTACCTTGGGGTATCCTGAGTGGCTGTAGGCGCCTCCTCATCCTTAAGATGATGACACGATGGTCGGATCATCCGTCGTCGGTACCCGAGATCGTCTTCATCACCAGTACGTCCTGTTGGTCTCGCCTCTGTATTCGGACATAGTCCATCAGGGACCAGTGTCGCGACCGAAGGTGCAGCCAGGTGGACTTCTCTCACATTTGAAGACGGAAGAGGACGTTGGTGAGGATGAGGCAACATCCTGCACAGATTCGCAGGAGGCGCAGGCCATTGTCCTGTTAACTGCGTTGGCGCATTAATTCTCCGTCTGTATCTGTCGACGACCCGGGAAACTGGCGTAGAAAATGTGCACAATAAGCTTTCTTTTTGTCAAAAGCACACATTCGACTTTGACACGGTTAAGTAGCTAATCGTTTTTGTACATAACCTAAAAGAGTCTGACGACGAGCTGGGGAACCAGTCTCAAAAATATACGCATTAAAGGTTATTTTATTCCCAAAGAATCTTACATAATGTCAATTAATTTCTTGGGATGCCCCTTTTTCAGTACACACATATATATATATATTTGAAAAAAAGCATCTGGAGAATCATAATTCGAAAGAAAAAAGCTCTTTGGGTAAGATAAACAAGTTTTATTGTAAATTTTTGACCTTGGTTCCCCAAGTCGTCTTCAGACGTGAAGTAAGTGTGCAAGCCAGTTAACATTTAAACATGCCGAAAAAATCGATTTTGCCCTGTCACTCCTGCTGGTGTAATGTTCTGATTGGATAATGCCCTCTCCACTTTCCTTTGAGGCTGTTGTACACCGCATCCAATTCTACGTGTCGGTTGATGCATGCGTTATCAGAATGGACGGCGTCTAAAATTTCACGGCCCCTTTTAGATGAGCAGACACGTACAATGCGAGTTCTGTCCCAGGCGAATTTGTGTCCAGTTTCCAACGTATGCAGGCAACTTGGGACAATTGGTCTCGCATGTTCGTTTATTCGTGTAGATGCCGATTTCCCCGTCTGATCACAGTAAACTGCATTACAGGAGCTGCATGGTATCTTATATACGACTTCCTTCTTATCCTTATAGTCAACCATATCCTCAGGGTGTGCAAGCTGGTTACGAAGTGTAGTCATCGGTTTCTGCGCCACATGCATTCGGTGCTTCCTCAAGTGTCTTTCAACTAGTTCGGACATATTCTTAATGTACGGAAGTGTTCGCCAGTTTTTTGGTTTGGGTGCCTTATCAGAACCATCTAATTCCTTTGTCTCATGCATCAGTGTTCAAAATATCTAGGATACCCATTCTAGGAAAACAGTTTAAACAAATAAATCAGTTCCGTTTGATATGTTTCGTTGTCAGAGCAGTAAGTTCTGGCTCAATTAAGGAGGCGGCAAACGGCACTCCGTTTGTGAGAGATCGGGTGATTGCTATCGTAATGCAAAAGAACTTACGCGTAGGTTTCCTTGCGGTAAACCGAAGTGTGAAATGTCCCGTCAGGCTTTCTCTGTACGAGGACATCAAGAAACGGGAGTTTGTTGTCAGCCTCTTTCTCGAGTGGAAATGTTATTCCTGGAAGTGTTGAGATAATATTATTGTGGAGTATTTCCAGTTGATCACTTTTAACAATGATGAACGTGTCATTAACCTAACGTACCCATAATTTGGGGCTAACTAGTGGTAAGGCAATAGCCTCTAATTTCAGCATCGTGACTTCGGCGAGAAAACCAGAGATGGGTGATCCCATAGGGGCTCCCTTCAGTTGCTGATAGCATTCCTGCGTAAATGAAAAGTTCGTTTCTAGACAAACGTCTAACAGTTCTAACAAAGCAGATGCAGGGATATCCATGTCGTAGTACTGAAGACGTTCCTCTGTACATTAGGCAATCAGAATGCGCATTTCGAGGTGTGCGATGGCAGACCCCGTGGCCGGCTGACGTCGCGTACACTGGGAGCCCTGCCACCCCACCCCCCATTGTTGCTGTTGGTGGTTGCAATTCTGGTGTGTTGACTAGGGGGTGTGACATGGAGAGCCTATGTGCGGCTGGGCCGTGCCATTTACCTCCGTCCTCCCCTGCGCCTCCGGTCTTTCTTACTTTAGCTTGACACCGGGTCACTATGGCGTAGGAGAGAGTGCGGTAGATACTGTGCAAGTTTACTACCACGCACGAGTCAATGACGCTGCTTCACCTCGCTGTGAATCACACAGTAGACATCACCGGCAACGAGGGTCGAACTCAAAAAATGCTGACGGCAACGTTCGAACCTAAAGTGTGATGTTGACTATCATCCTAAAGTAATCGCTTCGGCAGGTACGAACAGGCGTTCAGAGTGCAGACTGTTTCCATGAGCAGATCGAAACCTTAGGACGTTTTTGGTCTGGAGTTTAAATATGGTAAGTCACCCGGTTGTCAAACCAGCATGAGTGACAGGGCAAAATCGATTTTTTTCGGCATGCTTAAATGGTTACTGTTTTGCACACTTACTTCACGTCTGAAGATGACTTGGTGAACCAAGGTCAAAAATTTAAAATAAAACTTCTTTATCTTCCCCAAAAAGCTTATTTCTTTCGAAGCATCTGTATATATTTGAAAACAGGCATCCCAAGAAGCATGATTCGGAAAAAAATCAATTCTTTGGGAAAGATAAACAAATGTAATTGTGTATTTTCGACTTTAATTCCCCAAGTCGTCCTCAGACGTAAAAAAGCATGAAAAGCAGTTTGCAGGCGATCACTTCGGTACACTAAGAATGTGTCCGAACTAGTTGAAAGGCACCTGCAGAAGCACCGAATACATGTGGCGCACAAACCAACGACTACACTTCGTAACCAGCTTGCACACCCTAAGGATAGGGTTAGCTATTTAGATGAGAAGGAAGTCGTCTATAAGATTTCATGCCACACCTGTAATGCGGTTTCCTGTGGTCAAACTGGGGAACCAGCCTCTACACGAATGCACGAACATCATTTGGCCGTAAAAAGGCAAGACCACTTGTCCCAAGTTGTCATGCATACGCTGGAAGCAGGACACAAGTTCGCCTGGGACATGACTCGCGTTGTAGGTGTATGCTCGTCTAAGATAGGTCGCGAATTTTTAGAGGTCATTCATTCTGATCACTGATGCAGTAACCGGCACGTATAATTTGATGCTGTGTACAACAGCCTCAAGGAAATTTGGAAAATGCGTTGGTCGACCAGAACATTACCGCTGCAGCAGTGACGGTACAGTGAGCGTTTTTAGGCAGATCTAGACGTTAACTATTTTACGCACTTCACGTCCGAGGATGACTTGGTGAACTGAAGTCAAAAAGTTACAATCACATTTTTTATCTTTCCCAAAGAACTTAATTCACCCGAAGTATATTTATGTTTACGCCAAGTAATTCTCGGTGGGATAATACAAACTACGCTCATGCAAGTGTGTAGCGGCTAAGCGTTGATGGTGTATGGTCAGTGTGCCACAACTTCAAGCCATATCCCAAGTTGTAAGAAGTGGGACGCTAGTTAGAGAAAAAATGACTTATTCATTCTGTACAGAATAGTTCGTGGAAGTTGGCAACCGGACGAGGATGCGTCCGCGAGAGCGACGAGCCGTGTGTCGTTGAAGGTCGCCGCTAAAAAAGTGTCGTGACAGATTGTTTACACATTGGTCTGGACTGCGTCCGCCTTGTGTAACCAATCAGCGAAGGGAGTTGCGTTGATTGTCTCAAACCCAGGCGAGTGTAAGGGCAAGTCTCGCTCGGAGCAGGCAGAGAATCGTTCAGATTCGTGGCGCAGACAGTGAATTGCATCGAGATAAATCGAAGCGGGTCAGGCGTGCGTGCGTGCCAAAGCAGGCTGTCGCTAGGGCGTAGGTGCAGGCGCTAGGGGAGATGCGATGTCATTATGGCTGCCCATAAGTTTATTACTGAGTTCTGCAATACTAAAAGCCAAACGCTTTGGAAACCGACTTTCATAGGGTGAATTCAACCCTTTTTTCTCGAGAACATTGTGATTTCTCATACCCACTCGCGCTTTATTTTCATAAGGGCAAATTCAAATTTTCTGTTCCCAGAAGGGATTTATTTTCTACTTTTGCAGTTTAAATGAATTCTTCTTTACGAGGCGGTGCACAAAAACATTAAGTTTTGATCCGTGAATTTTAGTTGCGTAGGAAATTACCTGCAAATCAAGAGAGGTCAGATTTTGTCCAAATCTGGTCTGTTTTCCTTTAGAAAGACCGAATCGAACTGAATGTCTTGTTAGTATTATCTAGATTTTCTTGATTTAGTGTTGGTTCATTCACCGGACTAGACGCACCCGAGGTCAAAGCTGTCAGAATTCTCTCGGGATAACTCGGTTCTTCTTTGTGGTTCTATGGCAATAAACAGTAAGATTGGCTGAGCACGATAGACTTAATAAGGCGGGTAATAGATTGAAAAGTGGACCTACATTCAAGGTGATTAGACGAGCAGTCAGTGATTGACGCCAAAGTGTGGTGTTCGGTTTAAAAGCGAGCGGCGACAAAGAGCAACAGACAGTGGACAAAGAACAATGAACGAAGAATGACGAGAACCGATGAATAGGGGTACAGAAACAAAAGCAGGGTGGTATGAGTAAAGTCTGGTTACTAACAAACGGTTAGTAGCAAAAAAGGACAAGGATATAAATTGACATTAGCGATGACACCCCCGCGGAGTCGCGGTCTTCTGTGGCCTGAATGCGTCGCGGAGTTTCCATTTGATCCACTTCTCCTTCCAGTTGACAAAATTGGTGGAAGTCCCTCCGTACATTAACTTTTGCTGCGCGAGCGGTGACTCCGCGAATTAAGTTGTCCGATCCGGCGTGTACTTCTTGGATTATTGCCTTAGGCCAGACACCTCGGGGTTTGTCTGCCTCCATTAGCAGAACAAATTGACCAATACTGGGACTCGGTTGCGCAGAGTGCCACTTCCGACAAACTGCGAGTGTCGGTAATTCGACTCTTAACCACCTCTTCCAAAAGGTATCCGCTAGGAATTGTGCCTGTCACCTTCTTCTATTAAACTGATTCTTCGGAATTGTACTTGATATTGGCTCGGACGAATTACTTCTTAGTAGCCGTTCGAATGGCGTATGGTTCGTCTGCTTTACCTAAGCATTGATCCTGTACGCAGTGTGCTTCCCGTACATCGCATCCTAACAACAGCCCGGTCCTAATGTCTTCGGGTGATTGGAATTCGACCGTACTCAAGTGAGGCCAGAGTGAGGCTAACTTTTAATTTGG